TGGTGCCAAAAGATTGACTGGAAAAAATCCTCTAGACTTCCTCTTGAGCAGCTCCAGGTCCTTGTGCTGACTGGCAGGGAAAAGAGAGCTCCTCACCCCCTCCTTATTCATTCCTTTGTTTTACTTGCCTCCTCAAATGGCCTGAAAAACAAGCAGAGGCCTAAAAAACAAAATAAATAGCCTTGGGCACCCCGTCCCCTCCAGAACGCAGCCCTCTCCCTGGGGCTTTGGAATTTATCCCCTATCCCTTGGTCAGCCCTCTCCCTGTAATAACCCCTGCCTGCACCGAGAGCAGCCAAGACAACCTTTGTGACGGCAGTCTACCCTCCTCTCAGGTTGCCAGCTCTTGAATAAACCTGCTTTCCTTCTACCAAATTCTTATGTCCTGAGTTACTTGCTTATGAATTTTTGGCTTATGGGTGGCAAGCAGCCGAACCTGAGTTCGGTAACAATATGGTCGGTCTGGATGTCAACGATAGGAATTTAAGTCCTCCCCAGAGAGAGATCTTGGTAAATTATCCCCAGGCTTTCAGTTGAGACCCAAGCAGGGTGACACTCTGAGTCAGAACCACACCCTAGGAATAAGAAGAGCTACATCCTAATAGTAAAGACAAAACTGAAATAGACTAGTCCTCACAGAGCCTAAAACTAAGCTTACATAGATTCAAGGTGGTCTGCTGGCAGATCATGATCATTAATGACTAGGCCACTTCCACGCTAGGTCCATAAAAACCTCAGAAATCCTTCACATTTCTTCCCTCCCTGCTTCCTCCATGCTGCTGGTTGGATGTTGGTGCTCAGACTTATAATTAAAGCCATTGCATTGGAGATGATAGAGCTCAGGTCCCTGAATGTGAAGCAGAGGTCCCCACCCATCCTGCTGCATGGGCTTTTAATAATAATCTTATATTGTGCTACCGACACTTGAGAGTTTTATTATAGTGGCTTAACTGTATATCTTTATGCTTATCACCTTGTTGAAATGCTATAACATAGATATTACTTTATCATCTCTGTTTTCTACCTCAAGAACTAATGCTCAGAAAAATTAAATGACCCACCTAAGGCCATTCCGTTCATAAATGACAAGGCTAAGATTAACTTTTCTGTTTCTTCTTGAACCAGTTTTTGTGGTTTGTATCTTTCTAGAAATTTGTTCATTTTTGTATAGGTTTCTAAACTGTTAGCATAAAAATGTCCTCAGTTTTCCTTTATAATAACTTTTTCTTTCTGTAAAATTAGTAGTAATGTCTTCTCTTTCATTCCTGATTTAATTATTTAAGCCTTCTCTCTCTAACTAAGTTTGGTCAATTTTGTTGATCTTTTCAAAGAACCAACTTTTGGTTTTGTTGAAAACCAGGCATTTTACAAATACAATGTAAAAACTCTGGAAATCAGATTCTTCTTTACCTAGGTGTTTTTGTTGTTCGTTATAGCAGTTGTTTTTTATTTATTCAGTGACTTTTCTAAACTACTTCTGTAAAGTCTGTATTTTTCATATGTAGCCATGGAAAATCCTGCTTGGTTAGCTTAGTGCTCAGCTAATCGTTAGAGATTTCCTTAAATACCTGGAACCAGTATGTCTCCCAGTGTTCATTGAGGGTCTGTTGTCAGGCAGTTGTCAACTCTCCCATAGCCTTCACTTCTTGCTTATATGGAGCCTCACAGTCAGCCTAAGGTGAATGCTTAGGGCCTTCTCAAGTCTTTCCTGAGCTTGTACACAGTTTAGCACAATACTGGACATGTATGTAGATTTCTGGATTCCCATGCATATGTTGGAACTTTTCAAAGTTCCTAGGGACATTCTTCAGCTTTTCGTTTTGAGTTTTTTGATTAACCTATTGTTGCCGCAACTGTTTTCATTGCCTAAGGCAGCAGCAAAGTCAATCCATTCCCTCTTATTGTTTTTGACAACAGCTTCTAGGGAAAGGCTTTTTGGTGCTGAGGTTGATTCTGAATCAAATCAAACGAAGACAGCCTGGCAAGTGTGATCTTTTAGGGGACCACCAGATCGGTGACTATTCTTTTGGAGTTAGACTTTGAAGGAGTTCCAGCCTCATTCTGTCTCATCTGTTGGCTGCCAGGCTGCTGTTTTTCACCACAATTGTGGGCTCTTGTTTTTCAGTGCTACAAGCAAAGCTGGAAACAAGGGAATTGGGTTAGAGCAAGTCAGAACATCTTAAAGCTCACTGTTCTTTCTGAGATTCAGCTGTTTTTCTTGAATAAATGCTTCCTAGACTGCTGCAAGCCTTTGGCTAATTTCCAGCATTCTGAAAAAGCTGATTTTGACGATTTTGCTAGTTTTTTCATTGCTTTTGTGGATAAAAGAATTTTCAGAGGTCCTTATGTCTTCCTTTTACTGATGTCACTCTAAGGCTGTGATTAGAACGCAGGTCCTCTCCTTGACCAATCCTCCTTCTATTACAATGTACACATAACTTCCTTCTATTACAATGTACACATAACTTTATGTGCATTAGAGTCACCTGGAAGACTTGCTAAAATACAAATTGCTGGGCCCCACACCTAGAGTTTCCAAATCAGGCCTGAGGTTGAACCTGCCTGAGAATGTGCACTTTTAAAAAGTTCTCAGGTAATGTTGATGCTGTTGGTCTGGGGACCACTCTTTAAGAACCACCGCATTACACCTTGTGGTATCTTCAACCCATTGCCTTAGGGAGTGCTTCTCACCTCTAAAATCAACAATAATAATACATATAAGTCAATAATACATATTATCTCTCTGTATACATAATAAATACAGTACATAAGCTAATATATATTTAGTACTTACTACATGCTAGGTATAATATGCTTTACATTTACTAGGTTATTTTAATTTACATAATGATCTATGGGCATTATTACTTTCTCCATATTTAAATTGGAAATTGAAGTCAAAAAGGTAAATACATTGCCCAGAGGCATACAGCTCTAAATGCAGGAGCTAGTATAAAAATATGGCCTGTTTGATTCTGGAATGCATACTTTAAGCCTCTGCAGCAGCCAGTGTGTCCTACAGAGTAACAGAAATCACTTTTGCCTTGGATGACTTTAGTTGGGACATGCTTGCAGGATTAAAAACAATGACTCACATGGTAAAAAAGAGATTCTATTTTTCTATCCTTTGATTACATCATGATAAAAATGCCATTTGTGCGCTTGGTCTTTAATAGGTGTCTACGGCTTGGTAAGCTGCTCTTTTAACAAGAAATGGGCTTTTAGGCTCAAAGCCTTGAGTAGACAGTTTCTAGACAGAATTTAAAAACACAGTCTTCTGTTCATTTTCTTACAGTTCTTTTCAACTAAGGTAAGTAATAGAGGTTTTCCATTTATACTACTTTTATAGTTTCCCTCTTAAAGAATTGAAGAAAAGCGTTTATTTAAAGAAATAATAATACTATGAGTAGTATACACAGATATGGAATGAAAAGGGCTGAAATTTGGGAAACTCTGCTCCAACAAACAGGTTGAGTATCCAATTGGATCAACATGCAACATCCTAAAGGGAAAGTAGGGAAATGTGATTAAATCATGAATTTTCTTTTAAGGAGGGAGAGACTTGGATGGAAAAAGAGCCACAATTTCTAGAGCAACATGTGCGAAGCAGAGAAATATGAAGTCGGAAATGATTTGTTGGTAAGAAATTACTACAAGGGTGGACTGAGATTTGGTTGCACAACTTGTCTAGCAAATTCTCGTAACTTAAATTTCTCTAGTAAATTTTGGATAATTTGTTTTCATCAATACCAAAAAAATAAAAATTAGTTTCGGTTTACTGGCAGGAGATTTTGCAGTTAGCAGAAACAGCGCAAGAAGTGGGTTTTTTAATTCTTGGGAGAGGGGATGCAATAAATATATCCTGGGCCCTGGGCGTGTGTGTAGAGGGGGTTAGGAATAAGAAGAGCGGAGAGCAGGACTGTAATTAGAGAAGCAGACATCTTCAAAATGAAAAAAGAGGACATGTGCGGGACGAAGAAAGAATTTAGCATCACCGACATGATTAACTAAACTGTTTACCGGGGCTTAAGCAAGGGGTTCAGGGACTACAGCTGCTATATTTATTTTAGTTGCATGTAACAGGAGCTGTTACTTCCCAGCTTGACAAACGGTCAGCCCTCGAGATGAAAACTGGAAGGCTCTGGTCCGGCCACGGCTACAAAGAGGAAACTCTCTATTCTCCGTCCCCGCCCCAATTGAATCAGATATGACTGCAGGGTGGAAGGGGGAAAGGCACCATATAGTGCTCAGAGTCAGTATGGGCAATCGTGCCCTTCTTCCGTCTATTTTTTTTGTCCCGCTCATATCTGTACTGCAACTGATGAACGCTATGCCAAGAGATCTCAACCTTATTAGTCAGATTTCTAGTCGAATTCGAGTTGATTTCAACGCCTCCATTTTTGGCTATTGCTGTTATAATTTCTGAAAAAGTCCAGCTGTGCCGGCCCATCCCTTAGTTCTCCACACCCGCTTCCCTTTCCCTGAGACCCCGCCCTCTCCTCCCAGCTCAAACCACAAAAGCCAGTGCTGTTCCAGCCCAGCAACGGAGCCCCGCCCACCGCAAACGTCGCAGTGCTGCAGGAAAAGGAGGCGGGTCCCGACTGGGGCGTGGGGTGGGAAGGTGTGGCTTCGTCCTCCGTTCTTCGGCCAATCTGTGAGGTCTCCCTGGCCGAGAAGGAAGGGCCAAGGCGTAGAGACAGTTAAAGTATTTATTCCCTTTTTCTGCCACGTCCCAACCATTGACGTAAGCCCACTCAAGTTCCGATTGGATATGTGCACTTTTCCTGCAGGGGCTCTTTAAGTCTATTGGTCGTTGCTGTCCTAGGGGCGGGGCTTGTGTGCCCTCCTCCTTCGCTTCTGCTGC